GGGGGAGGAAGCATTTAGGAACTAGCTGAAAGTTGTACGTTTCATCATTGTTACCCTGCACCCTGACTGGCTCGTCTCCTCCTTGCAACCCCAAGGGGATGTCCAGTTGCCTCCAGATGGGCTTTGAGTCTCCACTCTGCACTCACCCTCATTTACAATGATACGATTTTTTTGTTCTTTGATGCCTGATACCTGATCCCTTCGCCACCTAGTGATCACACAGGCTGGTGTGCATCTTCCATGTGGGCTTTGTTGCTTCTGAGCTAGATGGCAAGATATTATTTTTAAAGGGATGTGGAAGTAAAAACATAATCTAGGAGAGCATGAACATGTTTGATGAATCCAACAGAAGGTAAGAGAGGGAATGAAGGAACAAGCACACAGATGGGACAGATAAATAACACAAAGCAAGCTGGGAGTGCATCGCCCACCTATTCTAGAGATAATGAAGGAGCCCTGTGGGGGGTGATGATTAAGCTTTCAGTGGTTGGAACCCAATGAGAAGAGCCCTTGTGGACTGCTCCTATAAGGATGACAGCCGATGGTGGAAGGCACGTAACAACCTGATCAGAACCACCGTGATCCTGAGGGAACTAGATCTTCCAGTGAGACATCGCCCAAGTGGACTCCCAAAAGCCAGGTACAGTGTTACGTGTACATATAAGAGCGCTACCGCTAACGTCAGAAGAAGAAGAGCACGCACTAGCCAGGAGCGTGGCTAGATTAATTTCAGACACGTCGTTGAGTCGGCTCCGACCCATAGTGGCCCTGTGCACAACAACAAAGCACTGCCCGGTCCTGCGCTGGCCTCACACTTGTCCTTGGTGCGCGCCCGCTGCTGCAGCCAGCGTGTCCGTCTGTCTTGTGGAGGGCCTGCCTCCTTTGCACTGCCCCTCGGCTTGATGTCCTTCCACGGGACTGGCCTCTCCTGACAATATGTCCGAAGTATAGATGAGGAAGTCTTGCCATCCTTGCGGCGTTCTTTTTAACCAAACGTTCGTTCCAGGAGGAGGGCTCATCTTTGGAATCATGGGCGGACCCCCATGTGGGGTGCCAGCATCATACCAGGGCGAGGAGGACCCGGGAGACTGGGGGGAGGCGGCACCCTGCCCCTGCTGGAGAAGGAGTGGAGAATGGAGTTGGAGGCGCCACTCCTTGTTGAAATGCAGCCGTCTGTCCTTCAGGCTCTGAGCCGGCTCGTCCTTCCATTTCTGATAGTCGTCCTTCACCTCTTTGTGTTTCCCCCCCTGCACTGTGTCTCTCACAGCTGGAGAGTCACCCGGGAGCTCTGTATCGGCCAGTAGTCTCAATAAAGCTCATGCATGTTGCTCGACCAGCCGTTTGCTACCGCCATCCTTGCTTCTAAGGAGCAAGCGCTCTGGCCGTACTTTTTCCAAGAAAAATGCGTTTGTCCTTTTGGCAGTCCGTGGTATTTTCAGTATTCTTCACCAGCACCACAACTCGAACACAGCCCGTCTTCCTGATTCAGGCTCCAACCTTCACATGGGAATGAGGCCATTGGAAAGACCGTAGCTCGGGATAGGGGTACTTTAGCCCTCTAAGAAACGTCCTTGCTTTTCAATACTCTGAAGAGGCCTTGAGGAGCCCTGGGGGCGTGGCGGTTGCACACTGGGTGCGATCTACAAAGTCTGCGGTTCGAAACCACCAGCTGCTCCTGGGGAGAAAGATGACGAGGCTTTCTATTGTGGCCGACCGTTACAGTCTCAGAAACCCATAGGGGTAGGTCTCCCCTGTCGCGTCATCTGGATGGCTGTGAGGAAAAGGTGTTGTGCTGCAGCGGATTCACCCCGGCAGCATGTCTCTCGAGCCCCTGACTGCTGCTCCCACAAGCACTGCCTGGGTCTAGCACCACGAGACCTTTGACAGGGTCCGTCTTTTCTCCCTGGATCGCCATGTGACCTCCTGGTCTAGTTGTCTTTAGATTTCAGACATAGGAGACTGTAAATCAAGAAACTGTAGTAGAAATAAAGAGGGGATGTGTTGTAATGATAAAAAGGGTCAATCCAACAGGAAAATAAAACATGCATAGGCTGTATTAGAAATAAAGAGGGGATGTGTTGTAATGATAAAAAGGGTCAATCCAACAGGAAAATAAAACATGCATAGGCACTTACAGCTTTGGAATACACAAATGAATAGATCACAGAGTAAGAAGCTGTCCTGGACAAACCCATCATTATAGTTAGACATGCTCACACCACTCTCAGTAACTGTTGGAAAAGCAGACCAAAAACTCAGTAAGGATTTGGAAGATTTGAATGACATCGTTGGCCAAGTTAACTGAATTATGAGGAAATTCAAAGGAATCTACAAACTGTTA